CCTTTGCTTAGTTTTGGATCTCTGGTTTTCGACAGGGATGGGGGAGTAACTACAAATTTTTGTAGCTGTAGCTGCTGCAGTTTTATTAAATGAATATAATTTTCCCTGTAATTTCACTACAGTCTTCAGTCAATCCGCGCAAAATCTGAACCACAGAACGTGGTCGGTAACTGGGCTGGTGGCGACTGTGTAACCCTGACTGAGCCGTGGACAGTTTGAGCAAACGGTCATGCGCTGACCACCCCTTACTAATAGGCTCAGCTCAGGGGTCGCAACCCAAATGTTATGAAGAGCCATTTTGTCCTTTCAACAAAAATCAAACCACCTTGGGAGCCACAACACTTTATGTCCGTTTTACCGTCTCGGCTGTAAATAAGTCTCAGTGTGCTGATACAGGCTAAAAATAGAATATAAACACAAACTCAGACTCGCTCTGCTCTGCTTTAAGCTTTAGCTCAACTGTAGCCGCTTTTCTCACATCTCCGGCAGGAAACTTCTCCACGAGTTTCTTGTAAAATGTTTCTCAATGTTCGTCTTTTTACGAGGCTGAAGTCGCTTCTCATTTTCCAGCTTCTTGTTCGAATTGTCCTGTTCCACCTTAAATGGTGCCTGAGGCGCCAGATTGTACTGCTGTGCCATTTAAGGTGGAACGGGAGAATTCAAAGCCGGAGAATGAGAAGCGACTTAAGCTTCACGACTTGTTGTAGATTAAACCAGATGAGTGATTATAAATGCAAATAAGTCCATTCATCTCCAAATGATCAATGTTTGTCTTAAATCTCTCTCTTTGCTGTTTCATTATCTGCATCCCTGTGTGACCTGCAGTCTTCAGTTAGAAGCGGTCAAGAAAAAAGTAGCTATTGTAGGTGGAACAATAATTTATGCTATTTGTGCTGTTTAATCTGCTCTTCTCGTTTAATAAAGTGATTTCTGAATCTGGTTGCTGCACTTACATCAGCAGATCAAACAAAACTAAAAATGTATACTTTTTTTTAGTTTGTCTCACAAATTATATTTTTGGACAAGAAAAACACTTAAATAGGAACATAATTAATATATTAGATGTTTTATTGTTACTCTGAAACAATGTAATTATTTTGTTATAAGCGCTTACTGATCCAAACAGCTCTGAGCAATAATAAAACAATGAAACTGATACTGCTGTGGTTTTTAGTTATAGACACTGCTACTCCTGCTTTTCCCCTTTTTCCGTATCTTACACTGATGATCAAATCTCATTCTCTGCTGTCATTGTTTTGCTATCCGGTGTGGACCAGAGGAGGACGGGTTCCTCTTTTGAGTCTCAAGGTTTCTTCCTCTTGCTCTTTGCTCTTGTCACCATTGGTGACGCTCATTCTGTAAAGCTGCTTTGTGACAACACCTGTAGCTTTGTATTTTGAATCTTTTGTGAGTAATATGTTGGCCCCCAGATGTCTTGACATGGTGCGATCTGGCCCTCTCTGAAAATGTTTGGACACCCCTGACTTAAAAGGACATACATCCTGTCTAATGATCTGCAAAAAGAGTCGCTAAGTATGAACGCTGCTGTGGATCTCACTATGACTCAGATCAGCGAATTACACACAGATCAGGCCTTTGGCACAATGGAGAGCACCACAAAAAGGATGGCTGGAGAAAGTAACGCAGCCACTGAGGTTGTCCATAAGAGGAACAGACATTTCGATCAGAAGGCAGAAGATGACCCAGTCTAGCACAGCAGAAGTCGATTTTCCGACTTCAAGAAAATGGCCAAACTGTCCACGGTACTCGACCCAAAGCGCATTGACTGCCCTGATGCTGAAGAGAAAATGCTGGATCCACATGTTTCTATTCAGGACATCTCCAAGCCAGAGGAAGTTCTGATTGAGTTCCACTCTTTTCATATATTGTATTCTGGATCTTAACACCGATCCACTCCTCCTGTTCCTCATTGCCATGACATGGGTCGAACATACACTTGATCATTCCCATCAGCAGCGCCAGTGCTGAACGAAGGTCCAGCTGTCTGAGTCTCACTAGGAGCTGTTTGCATTCGTGCTTGAATGGTGCCAGACTATCCAACCTTACTATCAGTGTGTTCAGCAGGACATAGACATTAATGGAAAAAGGGTTGGCAGGTTTGCCGCCATGAAGGAGAGGAGGATGACGTTTTAAAGTGGACAGTGATGCACAAAGTTTGTTAACCTGTTCTGACTATTTGGTTCAGGATGGTGGAATACATGGACTACGCAGGAAGCCAGCCCACTACAAACTAATGAAGAGCCTAAATAAAGTAGAATAAAAAGGGCGGCAGGACCACGGTGGCGAGCGGGAATTTGATCCACCACTTTTCAAAGTCCAGGGCGACGCCCCACTACTTTTGAGTTCAAGGTGCGCACATAAAAACCTCTGCTTTCCTAAAACTGCTTGAAGCGCTGACCAGCACGAACAGACAGAGTAAAACTGAGCAGAAGAGCTAATCAGAATCTGCATTTCAGCTGGGAGGCACTTTCAGACCTGC